TTAGACCCGTATTCCACCGGAAATCCATCGAAACAATGGGGAAACGTTCACCACAAACGTTCCAGCCAGGGAACGACAGTGGCTCAACGATGTAGGGAAGAGTAAAGGACTCAACCTCTCCCAAGGTCGGCAGGGAAGAGGAGAGACCGAGGGACATTCCCCCTTTCCTACATAATTCCCAGGAATGCCTTCGGCATTAGTTGGGAGGTTATNAAGATAAAAATTAACCCCCCTGGATCGAAATTCCGCTCTATAAATATTGTTAGGGACCTCGAAGGAGGGTCCATGAGCCACTTTTCGAGACTAAGGTCACGATTTCGATGGGTCTCTTCAGAGGCTTTTATATCCGGCATCGTTCCACGCAGAACTTTGAAATTCGTTTCATTCTCTTCCTTAGATTCTATTCTAAACAATGATGTAAAATTCTCGATGATACTACCACGGGTTCGGGATGGGGAACGAATTTTGCGAAAATCTCGTCTCGTTGCGCTTCACGTTTGCTCCTCCCAAATCCGTCGTAAGCAACGCATCGAGAAATCCATATATACAATTTTGCCTCATGACTAGTTGCATCTTTATTAAGTGACGTTCAGATCCTATAGACAGTTTTCGCGTGCCAATTGAAAACACTTTCGAAAATCACGTTTTTTTTTAAGCCATTTTCTTCGGACCCGAATTACTCGGGAACGAATAGGAAATGCTACGATTTTTGTGCACCGATATTTAGAAGCGACTGTCATGAAGGGCTCTGCCCGATTATATGCCAAAATATTCATAATTTTCTGATTTATAGTGATTTGACTGATGTAAAGTCTGAGAATCCTGCAGGAATCGGTCACGTTTTCCCCTGCATGCCTCCTCCCTCGTATAATACCCCATCTGGTTCCGCCCGCTCCCACGATTCAAGTAACTGTCTCCGCAATGACGAATATCCAACGATGGGTAGGATAGTCGCATTCCAAGTGACAAGTGAAATGTTCCTTCCGAAGCTGAAATTTTCAAAGGTCTGACTTCACACGAACCTTCAACCTAACCCTTACCCTTATTCGCCCATTCGTGGATTTACAACACGAATTTTGTGTTATTTATATGTACCATGAGCAACGGAGCTCCCCTTCCCCTGACTGTTTTGTGGTTCTTATAGGCAACTAAGGCATCGTTATGCTGTATCAATTTCATGGATTGTGTAGACTTGGAAGTACATTGACCTAGCTTGAGGAGTTCATGACGAATTCCGTTGATTTGAATAGATCGGGCCATAGGGAGTGTTGTAATATACGTAGATCTTTCTATTTATTCTAAATTTAAAAAAAAAATTGAACCTAGACTTAATCCCTAATATTCAATAGATAGCAAATCGTCTTGAAACTGATAAAGAGGCTGATCACTGTCATCCACAGGAGCAAAGGCACAAGTGGCTGGCTTTTGTTCAGAAATTCCGCCTGGAACTGACTCACACTTTCGGAACGAATGGTGGGACTTTCGCACTGGTCAAGAACTCGGAAGAAAATCCTTTCGTACCTTGATCCGACAAGCGCATTTTGACTGAATACGCCCCACAGGTGCCCCTTGCCGTCAAAGGGGAAGTCAGGTGTCATAAAGGGTCATTTTTCAACCCACCTGTCATTTGACCCTCCCGAAATTCCTGAGGTCACTAGAGGAACCTGGAGAGCGTGAGAAGAGGATCAAGTTGACGAGGTCAATCGCTCAAATTCCATTGACCTGGGCTACTGACTTGACAGCGAGCTCATTTCTTACCCTTCAAAACCCTTCCATTCAATATGTTAATTTCTTTTAGTTATCTGAGTTCAACAGCACCAATTATGAAATTGAGATGAATCTGCTCTGAGTTATCGAATCATTCTCTTCGACATCAAAGCACCTTTAAAGTTGTTCTGCTTTGTCATTATTCAAATACTCCTCCATCCGCGTGAATGAAAATTACGGCAATAGGGACGTCATTTCGCAAACTGAAAGGAGGGGGGAGAAAGATCTCCACGTGACACTGGTGGCAGCGGTTTTTTCCTTCGTCCGAGTGCAGCTGTGAGCGGTTTTGTCTTGCCCCACTGGATGCGGCAGACCTTTTTCTTTCCTATCTGAGCAGGTTTTATTATATTGTAGTACATGGCTCAGCGGTCCCTTTTTGACGATGAAATCGTCGCGAGCGGTTATTTTGTTCCCACTCCGTCTTCGCAGAAGTTGTTCTCCTGGTTACTGTATTCATTTATTTTTTAGACCTTCAAGGTAAGGGAAAGGCGGTCTTCATTGCAAGCATCCTAGTTATATGACCGAAAGTTATATTCGTTATTAATAAATTGCGTACCGCGCATTTACCCCGTCGTTCCGCCGCTCTGACCTAAGCCTCAGTTACCTTAGCATAAAGCTCGATGCCGTTTTAGGCTAAGACTTTTTCGGGCAAAGGGACTCAAAAACGGAGGTCTCCGTGAGCGGTACGCAAAGTGTTAAGGCTCCCTCGTTCGTTTTTTAATCACAATAGAGCTTAATTTTCATGGACTAAGTAATTTTACCAGTGCTCTAGGTATTAGTTCTAGGTAAATTTTTGTCGGTTTTCTTCTTCTGTTTTTGTTCATTATGAAATTAACTCAGTTTCTTTCCTGGGTGTGTCGAGTTCCTTGATCTTACATGATTCCCATCATTTTTGTTTACTTGACACACATCGAACTAATTTTTGGTAAGTTTTTTGCCCATTCTGGCGGGTGTAGCACGCTGTGCCTAAGCATCTCTTTGATGCATACATCGTGAACAGTAGATCGCGTTTTGGAAGCTGCAATCTGCCTAAGACAGTTCGTAGTTGATGAGCTGTGACAAGGAATGTACACGCACTTGGGTAGTAGGCCGCAATTACGGCCACATGCCGCTAGTCCGTTTATAAACGAACATGGGTGATGGGAAACGTTCAGCTTGGCTGATTGAATTTTAGATTAAAAAGTTCCTTTCCCCTTTGTTTTGTACACATTTTCGCATTCTCCAAACGCTTTCCCAGCTTCTCTTCATGATCTTTCTCGGTTGGGTTCATGAAGCGAATATTATGTTGATCTCTAATAGTACAAAAAAAACATAACCAAACAACACTATAATGTATTAAAAACGCCTTGTCTCCTGCATTCTTGCTATACATACTGCTACTATACAGGAAAGAATTGTTCCTAACGTTATATTTCTTCTGGGCAATTAAGCCAGATAAATGCGATATTGTTCATCTTTTGCTAGACTTTATTCACTTCTATGGAATGAGGAATCTTCATCTGGTGCTATTGAAAATTCATTCATTTTTATTGAACTGCTGGGAGAATGCGAACATAGAGAAACCCTCGACTCTTGGCTCTCTGAGTTTTCCTGATAGCAGAGGCAACAATAGGAAATGCTCGACTTCCTCTTGATAACTTGAACACGCGACCAAGTCCAAGTCAAACAAGCAAGAGAGCCCTCGTTATCTTCGCTTTTCCGAGAATGGTGCTAAGTGGAAAGCAAACTTAAGAAATGAAACAGATAAGTGGGAAAGAAATTTAACTTTTCTACTTTTCCGTTTTCTTATTTACTGTAGGTATTCCTGTCAATGCCATGATATGGGTATTTTTTCAAATACCAATAAGTCATTGCAGGGGGCTACTTGATCCGGTTGGCCCAGGCTGCTTCAATCCATTCGTCCTTCCAAATGTATAATATATTGGATACCTTCTTTGTGGGGCCAATACCACATTAGACATACGTTTCTGAATACTTAGTTGGAAGTTTTATGCGGGGAATGATACGTTCTAGGAACGTCCAACAACCGATCCTACCCTTATCTATGACGTACGGCACCATGACTCAACTTAGGTGACAACATGGTGGTATCCTTATGGAAAACGCATACTGCGTGAGGCAGTGAATCGTGGCGTGATTACGGAGACGTGCTGTGCCTCATCACTTTTCTTAGTTTTCACATGATCTCTACCACTACTATTTTTCAAAGGCTTTCCTTTTCTTCAACCCCAACCCCACCTCCCCCACCCCCCTTCTCTATGGGACTCATTAACGTTAAGCCTAGGCTTAACCTTTTCATACCTGAACTAAAGCCATTATCGGAATAATATACTTTTGTTTTTGAGCTCTTTTGTTATTGTACTTTAAGTTTGTTTGTTCTATATATTGTTTTTGTATTTTGTATAAATTTACCATGTCATACCTTGTATTATGTACTACAAATTTAATTGCATAAATGAAGACGACAAAACTGACAGGTGAAAGAAGTCCTCCTTTTGAAGTGGGCTATCCATTGTTGGGGCCATTGGAGTGTAATATGTAAAGTCACAAGAATCCTAAGAATATCCATCCAATCCTAAGATAAGAATCCATAGGCACATTGAAAATACTATGTCGATTAGAATGGATGCCAGGTCTGAAAGGGTTAGCCGATGCACTGCCTTCGGGTCAGGCCTAGGCCTATATTCTTTCGTTCAAAATAAATTCAATCCTCGACTTATTGGGACAATTAAGGCTAAAAGGATTAATCAATGGTCTTCAAGACATCTCGTCGAGGACGTGCAACGTTAGGCCAATCGCAGGCCTATTCAGTCTCTCATGGACCTTTTAGAAGAGTACGTGTAACGTTAGACCGATTAGAGGTCTATTTCGAGTTTCATGAACCATTTCAGTGACGACGCGGAACGTTAGGCCTATCTAGAATTCCTCCACCCGTTTCGACGAATTCTGAGGGGGAAATGCCTCTAGGAAGTAAGGAATACAACGTGAGAACCGTTCTGTTAGTTTAGGAATGTCCGAATGAGCTATCTCCATATCCCACCAAATCGATCGGCCAATGCTAGCCACCATTTCAATCTGATGCTCCCAAAGGAATACCGGACGGTTGAATTTTGTCGCGGGAAAGGGTTGAAGAAAGGTAATAGGATCAATAGGCTTTGGTAGCGTCTAATGCCCCACTCTCCTGGATCTCACGCGGAACGAGTTCATATTGCTTTCATTCAGTCACCGATTTTCTTTCAGATTGCCTGCTTCTGAGTGATTCTAGTGTCGTGATTCCATCTGAATCGTCAGTTTGGCCTTTGATATTGCGCAATGTCTGATCGGCGTCCAAAGGACCTGAGCAGCTTGAAGCATTTGATTCTTGACCGAGAGTATCCGCTGAATACAACCCGCTTCCTCGATGAGTTGGTGAAGAGAAAACTAATCACCAAAATTGAAGAAGAAGAGCTGAGAAAAATGAAATACAGGAAGCAGATTGACGAGATTTTCGTCATCCTTTATAAAAAGAATCCAAAGCCAACTTTCAATGCTGTGAAAGATATTATGAATGAAATGGATAGAACTGACTTTGTTGATGGCGAGTCTTCGCCCAATGGTATCCCCATCTCTTTTCTCTTTCAAGATACAGTGTGGTCATGAAGTACCAATCTATTTTATTGAAAAACTTAAAATTACTACGAAAATGCATAATTGTGCATTTCACATTGTCAATAATAAACTGAATAAAACTAGATAGTAAATTAAAAATCAGTTAAAATTTTTCACTTACTGAAGCTCCACATTATCACCTTCCAAATCGATACATAACTGCAATCGATCTGTTGTTTCCCTGAACATTCAGGATGCTCAGCATGTCAGGGGTTATGGTGTTAACAGCAGCATAGATACGATCTCTTAAATCTTCAACATTGGGAACGTTTGTGCTGTAAACCTTTGACTTTATGTAGCCCCATGTAAAAAGTCCAAGGGGGTTAGGTCAGGGGATCTTGAAACTCAAATTTCATTTCGCGAACATGTGTAAGATTATCTAATAAGCAGTTCCCGAACCATTTGATTGGTCGAGGGTCAAACAAAATGTTGGCTTCAAGATGAGTTGACCTAACCCCCATGGACTTTTTTGAATAGGGTTACATTAAGTCAAAGGTTTACAGCACAAAGGTTCTCAATGTTGAAGATTTAAGAGATCGTACCTATTACCACCATAACCCCTGACATTCTGAACATCTTGAACGTTCAGGGAAACAACAGATCGATTGCAGTTATGTATCGATTTAGAAGGTGGTCATGTGGAACTTCAGAAAAAATGCTAATAACTGAACTTTAATTTACTATCACCAGTTTTATTTAGTTCATTATTGACAATGTGAAGTGCACATAGTACATTTTTGTAAGAATTTTGAGTTTTTCAATAAAATTGGGACGTAAAAACCACCCTGTATATTATCCTATTACTTCTTGAGCGTATGGAACCATATTCTATGTTTGACAATACACAAAGAACTGTAAATTCAATCATAATTATCGTTGCCCTGCTCTACAGCCTATAAATGTATAAATCCGTCCCAGGCGGTCATTTGTAGAGAAACTTCCAGGCTAAGAGAAGCAGCCTGTATACACTTGTCAATCGAGGTTAACCGCTTAACCTGACCTCAAAATGAACATTGAAGTGCAATATTGAGCACTCTCCACATACTGACAGTCTGATTCTCGTAGCCAGATTCCAATGGACATACACAGACGATTGGCCACCGTCTCTGGCCTTGAATGCTCTTTCTCATGACAAAGGAGTATGCCCAATATGTTATTTTGGCACTTAAAACAGAATTCAATGAGTCATATATAATTTGAAAGGGTGTCCTTTGCGGAGTAATAAAATACCACTTTTACTCAATTCCGAAGGGTTTAAAAAAGTTACGTTATGTTAGATTAGGTTAAGGTAGGTTATTTTGCATAAGTTTTTTCAACAGAACACATGCTTTTAACTGTTCTGAGGAGAGGGAACTGCAGACTACCAAGGAAAATCAATATAAATACAAGTGAATTGTATTTTTTTTGCGAGGTGAGGTTAAATGCGAAGAAAAAATATTGAAGGAGGTCCCACAGGACAGCGATGAGGCAGTCGCTGCAGATAAAAAAACGATTGGTGCTGGCACGGAAACAACGCTTGCCACTGCAGTTGCGGTACGAAATACCTAAATCGGTGCTTTAGGAGGTGCTAGCGGTAATGGCTAGAATGAGTGATGAACAGCACGCAGCTGTACGTAGGGAGGGTAGAGCCGCTGAACAGCAAGGGGCAGCGAATGCTGAGCTCAGGATTAGGAGAGCCGTGAAGCCTACTGAGTAACTTGATGCAAGAAACGCAGCACTCAGGTGTCGAAAGCCGGGGGGCGGCCGGGAATTGAACCCGGAACTCCTGCTTGCCAGTCAGGTGTGCTACCATTACACCACGGAACTCGGGACATTAAGTCATGTCTCTCCATGTCGTCTCAATAACTGCAGTCATTTGCCGCAGCGAGCACTGTCAGGCTGTACAGTTTGCTGTAGGGAAGGGGGCATTTGTTTCACATTGCTGCAATAACGGAAAAGTGCTCCTGCTGCAACTCACACTTCACCCTGAGGCTCTGAAAGTGTTGCTAACTTGAGCTAATGTGTAATCGTGAAATAACTCTTTAATTAAAAAAATTCTCTATTTGTTGTGAATTTTTGAAAGCATTTTATCTCATATTTTACCAATTTCCTGCATATTTCGGCATTTTTTCGCATAACTACAGTATGTACATATTTTAGGACTTTAGCGCATAAAACAATTCTCTAGTCATTACTTACATTGTACAAAAGTATCGGGACAAACCTACCTTCACCGATAACAGATAGTTGCCAAGGTCATATGCATCGAGGTATTGTAAAGGCATATAAAGATTATCTGTTATCTGTTGGTCAGTGTTTGACAGTATGATACCTTGATCAAAGTACATGGTCATATGGCAGACACAGTGCGCCTGCGATAAGAGAACCATTTTTCCACGTTAAAATTCCACCAACTCCGATCCACGCGCCATACTGACTGTGACTGACATATTGCAATTTTCTTTATACAGGGTGATTATAAAGTCCTGCAATCACCTCCGAGATGATTCCATAACAGTGCATCCGATTTGCATGAAATTCATGTCATGTGGATTAGAATGACATCAGTGACTGCTTGGTGTGGTTTCACGGCATCATTCCTGATTGGTCCGTATTTGGAAGAACCACGTGGCCCGAAGACGTGCACCGTCAACGGGGAACGATATCATAAGCTTCTGGCGGAAGCTGTCCTTCCCGGCTTGGTACAACGTGGCATTCTTGGCGACATCATCTTCATGGCACATGAAGATGATGTCACCACATGTGAAGGATTGCTTATTAACACGTTTGGGCCTGACAGCATCATCAGCCGTGATTTTCCGATTTCATGGCCTGTAAGATCATCTGATCTCACCCGTGCAGAATCCGGGTTATGGGAATACGTATAAGACCAAGTGTATCGAAACCATATGAAATCACTGCCCATGCTCAAAGATGCCATTCCCAAGGGCATGCATCAGAACGGGGCGCTTATGGAACACTTGTAGCGTAATGTAGCACAACTCGATTTTGCTACTGCATTCACATACTCCATGACTTCACATGTATAACCTTTGAATGTCAATAAATTTGGATAATTTGTTACGGAGTTATTCTTCCCAGAAGTGATTGCAAGACATTATAATCACCCTTTACCTCTAGGCAGCGGTGATGCACATGACCTCTGGGACAACCTGTTATCGGCGTAGGGAGGCTAGTCCCAATACTTTTGGTAATATAGCGTATATGCTGGAAGTTTCCTAAGGACGTAAGTGCATACTTTCATACGTTCACACACGTACCCTTTGCTAATAGAGATACGGTTTGAATGGCTTAATCATACGAGTTTGGCCGAAGCTCATCTTGACCACTAATAATTAATGAATCCGGGTTGGCAAAGGATGGGGACATGAATCATCAAGGAACGAGAATTCACATTACGAACCAGTAGCAACCAAAATTTACTCTCCCAGTTTAAACCAATAGGGAATGGACCTTCCTCTGAAGCGTACTATAATCAATACGTTTCTTGGGTAAATAAATTCCTGTATTACCATATGCCTCCGGTTTATCCATATCCACTCATGCTTTGGGCAGGGGGTTATGCCAGTACCAGTAGTACTAGTACTGTAGATAGAAATGTCTTCACCATTTTAGCAGGTTCCCGCAGAAAAAGCGGACATTTATTGAGCGGCCCACTCATACGCCACGTTGGTGCCATGCTTCCACGTGCAGACAAACCAGCCAGGTTACTTTTTTAATAAGGTGCCCCACGCGTAAGCCAAACTTGGCCCACCGATGAGGGTTCCACAAAAAACGCGGTCATTTCCGCTACGGCCCATGCACGTCACCCATAGCCCATGGATCCATGTGTGGGCGGATGTACTTGGCCCAAGCTTGTAACAGGCGAACCTCGGAGATAAGCTACACTTGATGCAGAGATAAATTGCTGACTGGGTACTCCAGGGCAGAAACTTTTGGATTGCCCCTCGTATTTTTCCAATGCCCTTTGTATTTCATTTAACTGATTTGGAGAACTGATGATGTTTGATTATGTTGCAGAGGAAGATGAAGATTCCAGCTCCTTGCAGAAGCGGAACGGCAGCGATCGACAACAGCAGGTATGAAAAGCTTGCCCAGCGGTCGACATTTATTTCCTATGTGAAGGGAGATGCTGCAAATAAGGACTTGCTTTTGTTCATGTTCAGCTGTGCACTACTATCCTATCCTTTCGTGCTCACTAGACGAATTCGTCCATTTAAATGCAATTACTTCATTTTAAAAGCAGAATAAAGTTGAAACCGAAATCCAATCCATAACGCAAATTTTTGCAGCAGGGGGAATTTCGCAGCTCTGAACATGAAAAGACCGAGGAGATGCTCATGAAACAATTGGGTGAGACGGCTGTGCTACAAGAGAAAGCAGACAGGATCGAGAAAAAAGCAAATGACACACACTATATGATGCAACAAGTTTACAAGATATTAAGGTGATGCCTTCCTCTTTATCGAAATCTCGTTTGAGAAGCATCGAGCGTTTGCGATAGTTCCTTTTCTTATAGTTTCCATCGGCTCCTATGGATTTAGTCGTGACGTCATCAGATCTCTGGGTATATTAGCTTTGATACTGTTGCCAGCCTGTTCATGCTTTTCTGCTGGAACTTAGAAGAATACAAAAGGAACCAATCGTTTCACATTATGTTTGAGTTATGAGTTTCCTTATGAGTCTTACTATAATAATTTTTTGACGATTTTATGCTTTAACTCCAAGTCATACGTAGCACTTTTTTATTTCCTTTTCCCCCTACTTTTCCCATTCACTCTACCAAGTTTATTTTCATTTCAGTGTTTAGCTGGCATGTTATTTAAAATGTATATTTCAGTATTCTCAGCATTGTAATTTGAGATTTAACATTTATTTTTCAGCGGAAAGGATGGGGTCATAGCGATCCTCGTGGTACTCCTCGCCATCTCGGTTGCCATCAATTACTTCCGCTGAACCATCCAACCAACCATAGATACCATCTTGAAATAAAAGGGCTGTATTCCTTTAACATGGATTTGCATTTCCTATTGAACCATACAGCTGTAACTAAATCCCAGTGCGCTTGCCATTTTCTTCAGTTGAATGAGAATTTCAAGTGTCTAAACAATACAGGGTAGCGACTTCATAAGCAAGAGAAACTTGGTGCGGAGGTAAATGCTTAAAATCGGTTCCAGGTCATTTCTTTGAATAGACACTTCTCTCAGGTCCGTAGGAAGCAAATACCTTACACATGGTGGCTATGCATACAGTTGTTGAGCAGAAAGTGAAATGTTCCAAATAACTCGGGAATGCTGTCTCGCCTGCAGTCCCAGGATCAGAGCATTGTAGGACCGGGGTGAAGAATGGTGCCATCTTGCAGCCTCCCTTCCTTCATCTAACGTCCCATCCGCAGCAGCGAGTTAGAAGCATACCGTTATACCCTTGTAAAAGTAAACCTCACATACTCCGCACGTGTGGATTTGCTTGTGCGTAGAAAATCCACCAGTGTGAATTTAGCAGAGTATGGGAATCGCATACTCGAGATTCTTGCATATTCCACTTAAGGTCCTCGAAAATGCCAGTTGCATGCATCGTGGCTCAATGTATGGGTGTCATATTTCAGAACAGCAAGAATAATCTTTTTCATTTATCATCCTATCCCAAGTGTAAACCGGGAGAAATGAAACTGAAACTATTGATATTATGGGGGAAAAGGTTAATGCTGGAATGTAATCCATAAAAACATGGCACTTTGTACCAATTATCAGAGCTAGGCAAAATAAGTGATTGCGTATTTCAATAAAAATTGAAATGTCGCTGAAAAAGGTATTGTAAATACAGCCCAATAATAATTGAAATATATTTAATCACCCACCAAATAATAATGAACTTGTCACCAAATATTTTCAGCCCGCAGAAATATTGACTCCATCACCAGATCACACTGAATTTTCACCAAATTGGAATCAATCACCAAATTCTTATTTTTGATTTAACCAAATATATTGCACCATCACAGGTGCTGGTATCACCAAATTTACATTATCTCGCACCAAAAAAATGATCTCATCATCGAACTTATGATATTTTCAGCATTTGCAACCCTATCAAGGAAAGCATTTTTCTTTATTTCCAGTTAGACCTGTGATGTCGAGATGAGATTGTGAGATCATATCATGCTTTGGAGGGACTTCGGGGGAGGACCTGTGTAACTAGTCTCCTTGCGCTTGTGTACATGTATGGGAGTTGTGTACGGCGCTGACTTCCAGTTTCTGTGTGCCCTATGCATTAGAGGTGCATGGCAACTAGAGATTTTAAGGACATTGAAATAAGGAGAGACACCTTCATTGCCTGCAGTGACGGCAACGCCACAAGGGAGGAGGTTTGGAAAAGTGCGCAAGAATATCTAATGTTCTAATTTGCCTCAGAAAACTGGAGCATTAGGAAAACTTAAAGAAAACATGATTCTCCCTCTGAGTTTTGAGAGCTCCAAATTTTGAATTCACATGTCCTGTTTGGAACAAGACTGGCAAACATTCACTCGGAATGCTAATTCACAGCAGGGATAGTCAGTGTGTTCTGCCCTGCAGGCCCACTAAAAAAAAATTATTTATTTTGGCACATGAAATGTGACAATGATGTCATGTCTACATACTACAAATATATGGGCTGATGAAAAAAAGTCTTATCGTTTTCTACGGGAGAAACAGTTTCATTAACGCAAAAATGATATATCGGTTATGCGATAAACGTGGAACGGTTACAAGATGTTGAGATGCATGTTTTTCTTTGCAGCACCCCTACCTAAGTCAGGCAATGCCCATTTACACTGTTTAGAGGAGGATCACTCCACCTTAAGTGAGGGAATGATCTGTGCTCGACCATCTCAGAATTCCATTAAATTTGACAAACGGTCGGATTACTATGAGAACAGCCAAAAGACAAAAAAAAACACGTCTGTACTTCAAGAGGAGGCTGACAAATGTGAGTTTCAATTCGGTCGTGACAAAATGACCCGGTGGTTTAAATGTCACAGATACTTAAACTTGATGTCATGCATCTCATCATTGGGGAAATGTAAAGATGGAGCTCTTAAGTGAGGGAACATCGGAATTTTATCGGGTTGGGTTACTACAGGATGTAAATGTGAGTTAAGCCTATTCCTAATCCAAGGACCTACGCCTTGGCAAGGCTTTCCCCATATTTCCTCACTTTGGGCGCACCGTGTACGTATAGCATGGCACACCCAGCTAAAGTTGCTCCAATTCGCTTTAGAATAAAAACAGCTTCAGCTGTATACTTTTCTGGATTAGTTGAAGAAACATTTTTCAAGCAGTCGTTTACATTCCTATCGAATGGAGCACATCTGACTACCGCACTCTCCAGACCTCTATTCTTTAAACCAGGGGTGTCCAACTGGCGGCCCGCGGGCCGGATCCGACCCGCCAATTCATTTTCTCCGGCTCGCGAATTTCTCTTTAACAGCTGGTTTCGAAAAATTGCTGCAAATTTCACCTGTTCGCATTAAAAATGTGGTGTACGTGGTGTGACATTCGTTAGTGAGGCAACCAAACACACCTGAACCAAATCATTTGATCCCCGCCAAACTTAGCCAAAAGTCCCTGCTTGAAACTTTTTTTTTGTGGATATCTAAAGGTGAGGGTGAATGCGAATGATCCAAGGCTGCTGCAAGAGTTGAATGACAACATCAAGAGAGAAGTAAGACGAATCCCAAAAGACATGATGAACAGGTCAGTGCAACATTTTATTGGTCGCATATCAGCAGTGATTCAGCAGCGAGAAAGGTGAACTGAGCATGAAACTCATATAATTTGCGATTAAATGGTATGATACTTTGCAGGTAACCTGATCCTTTAATGAGCATAGAAATAGAAAAATAACCCAAGGGAAATTTTGTTGTGGTTCATGAAAAATTGGCGGTTTCTACGCGTGTGTCTCATGCACGCCATGTTTGTCAGTCCATGGCTGATAAACAGCCCATTCATTTCTTTGGATTAGAACGATTTGAAAAAAGGAGGCTGCTCTAACTTAAGCGAGCTTTTACAGAAGAGACTTCATCGCCAAATTATCTCAAACCCGTGCCAAACCAAAATGTATCGAATATTAGTGTGCAAGTTGGGATACCATTGTTAACGAATTTGCGCGGTGACCCGCTTTGTCTGAGTTCCGGAATCGAGGGTGTTTTGTATACATGCTACCCGGAAAGCCCATGATAATCGATAGAGGTGCGTCTCTGGGATCTCGCATTGATTATGACCAGTATACAGGCCACATCTAGGTAAAATACTCATTGATCGGTACACGTATTTCCTCGTCCACGTCACAGAGAAGGTCTGTCTTGCTATAGCCACCATTCAGGGAACAGGTCCCTTCCCTGTCCTGGAGATCTTACATTCGTGAAGAACAGCTACAAGATCTCACCTCATCAACCGAAAGAATACCTTTTACGTAAGTCAACAGCTATAAGTATTCATATTATAGGTGAGTGGTATCATACCAGTTTAATGATGGGAGACCTCCCCCCCCATGGAAAAACATGACATTTTGCATATCTTTGGCCTAAGAAACCATGCCACTTTTCATTTCATTTGCCATTAAAGAAAGACTACAGGACGAACCAAATAGCCAGGAAACGAAAACCAAGAATATTACACTAAACCAATGTGAATACTCTCGCACTTTTGGAAACTAGCACCCACTTGCGCGAAAGAATCTGCGATGAATGGAATGACATCGGGTCAGGACGATAATCTGAGTGCTGAATTTGCATAAAGTCTTGTAAACAGGAGTGGTACTGCCAGATTTTCAAGGCATTCTCGTTCCCGATTTCTTGGAGGGCTTCATAAGGCGTGGCATTGCTTTATTTCAGGAGAAGCCCTATAAGTGAGCTTTCATATCACTTTGACGATACGGTTTTTCATGTCAGCTTCTTGTAAGTTCTTCAGTGAAGGCCCGAGGGGCATTGGAAACTGAATTTTTTTCCCTCTTGGCTGCCACCAAGAGCAGAGCGCACGTACGCTCAAGGATTCCGTTGCCCACTGCAAGCGATACCGAAGCAATAAATATAACATCAATGCTGTATTTCCGCTGAAAATATCCCCCCTCTCTCTCTTCTTGGACAGAGTATCACTGCTCTCGGAGCAAGGGGCTTGCTTAGTATTTTACCTAGTGAAAATATGAGAATTTAAAAAAAATGAGTTCTTTGCAAATCATTAGCATCAACTATTTTACTACCTGGTGGCTTACAAAGCCGGAATTAAGCTTCATGCCTGCGGAGTACCAAAATAATCCCGTAATTCAGTATTTAAAAAATATACATGAGGCCCGCCGGGAACCTAAAAGGTTCACTTGCGGCCAGTAGTTCAATAAAGTTTGCTCATCACTGATCTAAAGTATCTAATCTATCTAATATCTAATCTAATATCAAATACTTTCATTTAAAGAGTCCGAAAGTTATGATGCTACGCCATTCTAGGCCATAGGCCAGGTCATCCACGACCTAAAGCGCCAGGCTTGCAAGGTTCTGCCATTCTGGGCCATAGGCTAGGCCGTGAAAGTGGAAAGAGGCCGGAAGCGGTGGTGAATGATTGTCACTCAACTGCGGCCTAACACGCGGTGACTTTGTCTCATTAGTCGCTTTTCGAAATTGAAATGGTCTTTTCCATTCGTGATTCATACCTTCATTCCTGATTTACTTGTGAGGTGTGCAATAAAATTGACAGAGATGACAATAAAATTAGCTGGAAGACAACACTTTCGAACTTCTTGAAGTTTGGAAATTTTTTATCTTTAGTTTGAACTGAACTGCTTCATATCTTTATGTAAACATGTTTAAATTTCCGCTCATTCGACGCCTAATTCAATGGTATATTCCAATTTATCAGTTCGGATAATTTCTCTATCTCGAATTTAAGGATATATTCTAATTTCAATAAAACTATCGGCCTGCGGTCGCTAGTTTTATTGAAATTAGGGAATCGCAGCAAAATAAATTAAATGAATCGCAACAA